GTATCCGCCACGTTCGGGAGAAGGTTGAGGTCAAAATGTGGGATTTGGACAATGTCATCGATACCCAAATTGAACCTCTAATAATTCATTTAAACGATTCAGAAGATTCAAGTTCCTCTTCTGAATGAGTGCGCGCAGCTTACTTACTAATAACTAAAAAGTGTAGTTAACTCATTTGTGAATCTCTAACTGAAATTTACTGTAAAAGATAATAATTATCTTGTATGAAATTTTTGATGACTACCCATAATATCTTGATGCGGTCCTGTAATGTCTCCTGCGCCTAAACACTCACTCACGAGCAATATGCGTGTATTTGTTTGGGTTTAGTTTCTTTCTTCAGCGCCTAGAGTATAAGAGCCAAAAATAACAGCGTCTGGCATTGCGGCGTTGTCAGACTTTATGTTACTTTAAAGTCGCTTTTCTCTAAAAAAATGCCGTTTTGACCTCCATGTTATATGAAACTTTTTGCTCTTTTTAACCCTCTCTATCACCCATTTAAATAATGATTTTCATAACGTTTACACCCTGTATATTTGGTAGATTGAAAATGGATGATAAATGTCGGGATCATAGCAACAGTGAAACTGAACAACAAATGCTTGGGTGATAAGAAATTCGTCTAAAAAGGTAGCAAGAATACGTGGTGAAACCTCATTGACGTAATGCTAAACCAATTTAAAGGAATGCTCTTTAAATTCCCCTTGTCAAACTCTAGGTTGTGCCTGCACTGCAGCTATCTCCAAATGACTACGTATGTATTTTGAGTCCATGGTATTGTTTCTCGCTTTTCCATCAATGCTCCAGGATGCTTATGTCAAGTGCCTGACAAGTACACTTCACAGGGGTTAATAAAAACCAAAGAAAACAAAAAAAACCCTTAGGTGCATTTGCAACGGACTGCTCGGTGCCTACCTTGAACAACTGGACTCCAATAACCGCAAACATGAACTGTAGCAGGCATGTTACCAATACAATGTTTCCGATGGTCTTTACCGCTACTATCACACACTGGACTACGTGCTAAGAATAAATATATTATACGCAGGTCGATGAATCAATCTAGGAGCGAGTAAGATCGAACCAACATCCATATTTGACACTAGGTCGACGTGGCACGACAAACGGAAGCAGAGCTACCTCTATTAAAGGCGCTATAAGTTTCAAATGGCAATTACATACATAGTGATGACTCTGCTGTTAAAGCGAACCTTGCAGTTCCAACCCACGACTATCATTGGTAGTATATGCAAAAATGACACGTGAAGTTCCTATAAACATGGGCCCTGAAATGCCCCACTACCAAAGATTTCAAAAAACTATCTTTGAAGAGAATAAAGATACTTGCACATGTAATACGAACAGGATATCCAACTGCTGCGAAGATTTTCGTGGTTCGAACAACGCCAGTGGCCTATACAGGGTAATTCACAAGATGCCGCACTTGTATCCGACATAATGGTGGTCTTTTGAACATTTATTGAAATAAGGCTCTGGTTATCTAATTTGGTTTTTTATTTTCTCGAAAACAGTGCACTCTATGACAAAAACACAGGGATAATTATTTGTAGCAAATTGAAGGTAAAATTCGAAAAAATTGCGCGTTTCGAAAAAGACAGTGGCGTACTATTTTTATTTGGGAAAATAAGTTACTAATCTCCTGTATCTCCGTCACTGGTGCACGTTAATTTTAAGTAAAAACTTTTAAATGTGGACAATACTTACATAAATCCACATACCAAATTTTGGTTCATTCTAGTTGACGCTTTTGAAGATATTAAAAAAAATATTTTTTTATTTTTAAACTTCAATATCCCGTATCTATTATTATTGTTGCATAACTTCAATATTCGATAGATCTTTTAAAATTAATGCATAAAGCCTATATAAACATGGGTCGAAAAATGCGTGGCTTCCGAAATACAGGGTGTTTAAATTTACTTTCTAAAATAGTTTTTTTTAAATATTTCGAACAATATTTGATGTATAACAGTGAAAATTGGTATACAAGGGTTTTTTGGTACGAAAAACGAACCATGGGCATAGTTTTACTGTAGCCGCTAGAGGGCGCTCTCTACTGTACCTGTAGTGTATTAAAATGACCGAAAATTTTTTTTTAGTGCAATTTTTTGCTTTTTGAATAAAAAAACTGATTCTTCCCACTTTTCAACATAAAAAAGCTCTCATGTGAGTTTTCGTTATAGTTAACCGTTTTTGAGATATTTCAATTTTTAAGGTTCGATTCATTTTTAATTATTTATGGGAAAATAATATTTTTCTTTACATTTTCGATTTGGGCATTACAAGTAATTAAGATGATCGTTTAGATTGTGTTTTTAAACACATCAATAATTCCTAACTCCAAATAAACACAAAAAACAGAATATTGATTTGTTTAATACTCCAATATTATTTTTAACAAATTAAATTAATTATTTACAACTAAAATGCTATTGGATAGTTAGGACAAACATACAAAATCTAAAGTAATTGCTCGAAATGTAAACCCAATTGTTCAATACACAATTCACATCTACGAATGATCGAACGTGGTATAGCATTATTCAAATAAGGCCTTATTTCATCACATGCATTCCTGATTCTGTCTATTAGCATATCTCTTGTAGTTACGGGAGTCTGGTACACTTTTTCTTTTAGAAATCCCCACACAAAGAAATCTAATAGATTTAGGTCAGGAGATCGTGGAGGCCAGGCCACTGGTCCTCGACGGCCGATCCATCTTTCTGGTTAATTTTCGTCCAGCCAGTTTCTAACTATTCTCGAATAATGAGCTGGACAACCATCAAGCTGGAAATAGGCCAATCTTCTTAAATCTGACATAACATCATCCCACATATTTGCATGTTCAGCCTTAAAAAATTCCAAGAAGGTCGCAGCATTTAACCTTGCAGGCAAAAGGTAGGGTCCAAATAGTCGATTACGGTAGATACCAATCCACACGTTCACACTAAATTCATGCTGAAAATTTCTTTCCCGAACTACATGCGAATTTTCATGAGACCAAATATGTTGATTATGAAAATTTACCACTCCACGTCTAGTGAAGCATGACTCATCGGTCCATAAAACGTTACTTAAAAACTCCCTATTATTATCAGTTCTATCAAGAATCCACTGACAAAATATTCTTCGTTCTCCGTCTCCTGGCTGTAGTCCTTGCACAGGTTGCAAATGGTAAGGACGTCTATGGTCATTTCTCAGAAACTCTCCTAACACTTGTGGTCGAATCTCTATCAAACTCACGCAGAATCATACGGGTAAATCTGCGCTGACGAACATTTATGTTTTGATCCCGTTGGAGATTTCCAAAACCATTTTCAATTATTTGGCGATGCACTCTTGCAAAACGAAAGTTCACAAAAGAGCTTTTTTATGTTGAAAAGTGCGAAGAATCAGTTTTTTTATTCGAAAAGCAAAAAATTGCACTAAGAAAAAAATTTCGGTCAGTTTAATGCACTACAGGTACAGTAGAGGGCGGTTCGTTTTGTCGTACCAAAAAATACTTGTATACCAGTTTTCACTGTTATACATCAAATATTCATCGAAATATTTAAAAAAACTATTTTAGAAAGTAAATTTAAACACCCTGTATTTCGGAAGCCACGCATTTTTCGACCTATGTTTATATAGACTTTATGCATTAACTTTAATAAACTGAAACACCCTGTATAGAAGGCCTCCCTTAAAATGCGGTCCTGTGTATGATGTTTCATTTTTGGTCACGACTTGTGAATCACCCTGTATACAGAAATATTTTGACTCCTATAGAAGAGGAGAGAAACATATTTTGTACGCCACTAACTTTATCGACCGTATTTGAGTTACTATGTCACATGAATTTAACCCTTCTGAGAAATTCTTGTGAGGCGATATGTTTTCGAGAAAATATTTTGAATATTTGAGGCAGACTTTGTTTGAAAAGCTCAAATCCGCTATGCCTTGTGAATCACCCTGTATACAGAAATATTTTGACTCGTATAGAAGAGGAGAGAAACATATTTTGTACGCCATTAACTTTATCGACCGTATTTGAGTTACTATGTCACATGAATTTAACCCTTTTGAGAAATTCTTGTGAGGCGATATGTTTTCGAGAAAATATTTTGAATATTTGAGGCAGACTTTGTTTGAAAAGCTCAAATCCGCTATGCCTTTAAAAGACGTTAGTGGAGTTTTACATTCAAAATTGTGTGGCATAGTAGTGAACCTATCTCATCACAACAATATTCGAATAATATTTATATATTCTGTTCCCGATCAGTAGGAGTGGAGTAGAAATTTACAGAGCCCTGTATGTTAGTAAAGAGGCATTTCAGGACAATTGTTCATAGGATTTTTTTTATATTTTTGAGTTCCATTTTGCACTAGAAATATCTTCGTTAATGTAATTTAGGTTTTTCGGGCTGTTGAGCCGTGGTCGGGTTGGATTTGGTCCAGAGCTTTCTTCTACATCTGCGGTAGCCATCTTCAGTGGCGCTATCGGCGAGAGCGAAGTGCTCGGCTTGGCGGGTCGACCCAAACTGATCGGCTAACCGGATGAGCGTGCGGTTTTATATGCGATCGGCGGACTGCGGACTGAGTTGTCTGGTGGGGGTACTCGGGTCCTCTTGAGTGACGTGACTTTTGCGCTGTGTTTTTGTTTTTGAGTCGACCCGCCAAGCCGAGCACTTCGCTCTCGCCGATAGCGCCACTGAAGATGGCTACCGCAGATGTAGACGAAAGCTCTGGACCAAATCCAACCCGACCACGGCTCAACAGCCCGAAAAACCTAAATTACATTAGAATTGGCCGTGAAAGCCTCCATTCTTCAATCTCCGTTAGTGTTCCTGAATGGGTCCAGAACTGTAAAACGCAAATGAATGTTGTTCATTTTACTCCAGACCTGTCCATTACGCCTAAATATATCTGTCGTATATAACTACAGCTCCGTAATCGTTTTCAAAAAATATAAATAACACAAAAACATATTTGGTTTTTACCTTGAGTCCTTTGGCTCTGTTGATTGCTCTTAAAGGGCGCAATACCCGAAGAACACGAAGTATTTTTACCACAGACATAGCCCCTTGGCTGGAAAAAAAATCAGTCAGTTATCTAAAAAACAAAACTAGAGTGGTGAAGAATAAATAACTTGTTATTCTCCGACCTATCATACTCTCTATATGCCAGAAGAGCATAGTCACAAAGCTGTCAAAATCAAATTTGTGGAGAGCTTACCTATTAAATATAGACACTAATGAAACGCAGACAACCAACAGATCCAACATGTTGAAGGCCGAACGTAAAAAGGCACCATCGTGGAGAATGCATCCATAGGAAATAGTCTTCAACACTAGTTCTATCGAAAATACTATAGTAAAGAAAACGTCGAAATTTGAAAGCACCTGTAAAAAAAGATATGTTAGTTCTATTACTATACTCAAGTACCAAAATGGAAGATAGCGTGAGACACCGTACGCACACAAATGTATTGCATTAGCAGTGGCGTACCATGAGTTATGCTGCTAATTTCTGTTTGGGTGTTTGATTATATTAATCGTAGCATGAGTTTTTAGTGTAACCAGGAGGTACCTAAAGAAGATATTTGCAGAAATAGAGGGTCCTGGCAAGGAGATTATTAACCACGTGGCAAGACAAATACGCATTTTTCCTTCTCATGCCTGTCACTCATTTCTAGCGGTATGTCTGTCTGTTTGTCTGTCTGTCCGCCAATCTTTTGACCGCATATAACTGGAAAGGTACCTCCCGGATTTGGATGAAATTTCTACACAAGGTTACTACTATGGCGAGAATGAAAAAGCCTTGCAGTTTTTGAAAATCTAAGTTTTTACGGATATACAGGGTGATTTGCCTAAACACGCCGAATATTTCCCTACTGAACCGATTTCGTTGGAACCTTTTCACGATAACAAAGTTACCCAAAAGTATCGTTGATTTTCTTCGAAGTCACCCTGTATATATACAGGGTGACTTCGAAGTTGAGTCATTTATTTTAACAGTGAGTAGATCTGATCAAAAGAAATGTTTTTTTCCTTTACCATTTTTCTGGTAAAATTAAAGTAACAAAGTTATAGCCCTTTGGAAGTTTGAGTACCGCCCTGTCTCAATAATAATATTATGTGCTCGTGTTTGGCGACAACGGATATAATCCGCCGTATCGGTTCATCGCATCGGAAACAAAAAAGCGAAAGAATTTGGAACGATGTTTTTACAATTATTTTATTCATTTGTATACAGTCAGTGTCAGTGAATAGTAGTGTCTATTGCGTGGCTCAAACGAAATAAAAAATGGCACATGTTTATGCGGATCGGTTTCCCAATCGAGTGTAACCAACCCCTCGTGCCTTTGTTAATGTAGTACAACGGGTTCGTGAATCAGGTGACTTAAGACCACACAGGGGACGGCATGCCGGTGCTCCAAGACCTCACGATCAAATACAGGTCCGCACTGAAATACTTGTCGGGAGGATACTTTATAAAACAAGGTAAAAATTTTTTTTTTTATTTTTACACACATATTTTGGTTTATCTTCCTTCTACAATCATTATCTGAAAATTAATGACTCAACTTCAAAGTCACCCTGTATATATCACCCTGTATACAATATAGAACTTTTTATTTTCGGAAATGAGAAGGTCTCGGTCCCCACTGCTAACTTACCTTATTTGTCTCGGAGTCTGAATCTATAGGGTCCTCAACAGCCAGTAGAGCTGAAGACACCATAATGCAGACGAGGATTATATTGCCAAAGTAACTGTGATTGCACAACCAATGGCAGAAAACTCGGAATCTAAAAATTACAAACATTATAAAGCTACTGTGCACCATGTAACAATGTCAATGGACGGTTCACCCTTAGTCGTATTTAAATCCTCTGGATACAAAGTCAGAGCAAGATGGAAAATCGTTTAAGAAAAAATCTTGTCACTGAAAAGTGAACACCTTGTATATGAATATGTCTCAAGAACTTCCACAAGAAAATTATCTGTACATCTGGAGTAATATTCAGAATATTCTACTGATGTACAGGGTCTGTCGCAAAGTAAACAGAACAAAGAAAAAATTAACAAACATTTTTTGTTTCGGAAAATCGAATTTATTTTATTCAAAATATACTCCTTCAGAGTTAATGCAGCGATTTGCTGGAACCGAATGATGATTTTAGCTCACTGACCGGATTGTCCTCCAAAATGGTCGAATTCTTTGTGAATAATTCCCTTGTGCGGACCAAACCGTGAACACACCTTTCTCATGCCCAAATTCTTGGTCAAAATGCGATGGATTGAATCTTTAGAGATATTTAATTTCATTTTTTTGTATCTCAATGAAGATTTTGGTTCATTTTTGATCAATTCACATATTGTTTCGACAGTTTCTAGCGTAATCACAAATTTTGGATGGCCAACATGTCGTCTCCCAGCGACTCGGCTACGAGATAAACAATCATCACCATACCTGTATATTTGCTTCAATCAACATCTGATACGTTTCGGTAAATGTTTTTCCTAGCCTAACACAGAACTTAGTATTGTCTCTTTGTTCGATGCTCATTTTTCGACCGATGCTAAAAAGGTTCTTTTACTTTGAGCGCAATAACTCAGCGTCAAATGGTTCGATTGTCATGAAGTTTTGACAGATCATCAATGAAAGATGTACCTATCCAACGCTAGTCTCCGGTAATGAATGGCGCTACTGGTATTTAGATATTTATATTTTTAAAAGTCCTATTTACTTTGTGACAGCCCTTGTATATCCCAAATAGAAGAGAAGACGCCACTGTCTATAAGGTGAGTCTTTGTTATGTACGAGGGCGGTTCAATAAGTACCCGAGTTAGAAATGAAGACACCATTTTTTCCAATTTTTTTTTTATTTTTCAAAATGGTCCCCTTTCAGAAAGATACACTGTTCTAAAAGTTCCTGCCCCCCCCCCCCTCAAAAAATAGGATTTGTCGAACTCTCCAAAATACGCCTCTGTCTCGGCGATGACTTCCCCGTTTGAGCTGAATGTTTTCCCCACGAGCCGTTTCTTCATGTCAGGGAACAAGAAAAGGTCGCAGTGGGCCAGATCGGGTGAATACGGGGGTGCGGCAGCACTTCATAACGCAATTCATGCAGTTTGGCGGCGACAACTCCGGATAAATATGCTGGTGCGTTAACGTGGTGAAACAGCGGTCCAATAACTGACTATAGTATTGTCCAGTGATCGTTTCTCATTTTTCTAAACAATCCACGAGGATGACGCTGTTCGCATCCCAAAAAAATCATCGCCATGACCTTTCCGGCCGATGGGACCATCTTCGTCTTCTTTGGAGCAGATTCACCAGGAGAAATCCATTGTTTTGATTGTTGCTTAGTTTCTTGTGTGTAATGATGGCCCCAAGCACTGCTTCGAAGTCAACAGCCGCATCCGATTGTTGTCCACCGTGAGCAATCGCGGCACCCATCGGGCCGACAATTTTTTTCATAGCCAACTTATCATGTAAAATATTGAATGCCATTCCGGTCGACACACCTACGGCCTCTGCTACTTCGCATTTTTTTCCATCCAAAAACAAAAAGCGAATTACCGAACGATACTGTTTTTTTCCATCTTCACGAAACACGGGTCACTCGAATGGCTGCCAAATCCAAACTAACCTATCAATCAGTCTAAGATTTGTTGTGCCGTCCTCTGATAGATGGCAGCACACGATGATAACATTAACTTCCCTCAGGAACGCCCTCTGTCGTCAAACACGGGTACTTAATGAACCGCCCTCGTATGTGCGGCTCTTACGTACTCAAAGACTCACCGCGTACACAGGGGCGTACAACGCATTACACCACTCTCTTCAATTTGGAAGAAATAATGGGTGGGTCATCCTTTGGTTTTTTTCTTTAAATTGGTATTAAAACTACACTCTTCAATGATATGTAACACTCAATACATTATTCAAAAGAATACACCTTCTGATTATTTATGAAAAATAATTTTAGTTAAACTTCTCAACATGTCTCTACAGGGTGACTTCGAAGTTGAGTCATTTATTTTAACAGTGAGTAGATCTGATCAAAAGAAATGTTTTTTTCCTTTAACATTTTTCTGGTAAAATTAAAGTAACAAAGTTATAGCCCTTTGGAAGTTTGAGTACCGCCCTGTCTCAATAATAATATTATGTGCTCGTGTTTGGCAACAACGGATATAATCCGCCTTATCGGTTCATCGCATCGGAAACAAAAAAGCGAAAGAATTTGAAACGCTTATCACAATGTTTTTACTACGATTTTATTCAGTTGTATTCAGTCAATGTGTCAGTCGGTAACGCGTGAGTGAATAGTGGTGTTTGTCGTGAATCAGGTGACTTAAGACCTCACAGGGGAGGGCATGCCGGTGCTCAAATACAGGTCCGCACTGAAATACTTGTCGGGAGGATACTTTATAAAACAAGGTAACATTTTTTTTTAATGTTTTTTTTATTTTTACACACATATTTTGGTTTATCTTCCTTCTACAATCATTATCTGTTCCGCGTTTACCGTCACGCTGTTACCATATTCATCTTGAAACAAGTAGGGACCAATAATCCCACCACTTCAAACAGTTACTCTTGTTTGGATGCATCGGTTTTTCTATGACGATATGTGGATTTTCAGAGCTCCAAATCCCACAGTTCTGCTTGTTAACGTGACCTCCTAGATGAAAATTGGCTTCGTCCGAAAAGATGATTTGGCGACCAAAATAGACGTCCGTTTCCAATTGATTTATAACCCACACAGAGAAACGATATCGAAGCGGATGGTCATTTTGTTTCAATTCTTAAACAAGTTGCACCTTGTAAGGAAATAGTCCCAGGTCGGTATGCAATATTCTCCGCACAGAAGTGCGACTGATGCCTACTTGTTGTGCTCTGTGACGAGTTGACATTCTTGCGTTTTCACTCTGTGCAACAGCAGCAATCTTTTCGGCTGTATGTAAGGGTCGAACATGCTCATACCTTCTGTTATCCACAAGCAGGCCTGTTTCATCAACCTTCTTCACGAGTTTTCGTATACCAGTAGCTTCATTCCGACCAAATAGCCTTCTCAACACTTTGAAAATAGTTTTTCAATATTTCCCACCTTTGTTCTAGATTAAAACGATCACACACAATATATGTGTCAATATGTTGAGCATGGAACTGTTACCAACTGTCAAAATAATACCAACTTAAAAAAAACCAACTGATGGCCTACCCTTTATGAGAAAGATATTTCTTGTAGAACATATTCATATCATCATAATCTTGGGCTTTCTAAGGGTGAACTTATATCATACTGAAACATAATTAAGGCCCGGTTATTTTTAACAAAGTGCTAAAATGGAAAAGGTAATGTCAAATATAAATGTCTACGCCACATAGATTGTATGATACGTGTGTTTGTAACAGATAAGTGCCACTTCATTAATGCAAACATCATGCTATACTCAAAAACGAACATTCCTGTTCCAGAGGTTTATGATTGTGATAGTTGCAGATCGGAGCATTTTCAGTTTCGCTTTTGTCACAAACACCGAAATTGGTGGTTGTGAATCAAGTGTTTAGGTGGCATCTGGAATACTGACTGTCCCAGTTTTTGTTAATGTTATCAGATACGTAAAAGCCAGGTAGACATATTTAGAATTGTCGCCTGTTTTATGGCCACTATCCACTAAATATTATATTAGCCAATTCTAGACTCAACTCAAATTAAGCTATACAGTATCGGACTCATACCTTTAGCACATACGTTACTCGATACATACGCGGTATACAGGGTGTTCCTTAATGAATGCGAATAGTTATGGTCCGGGGTGTTGAAGTTTTAGGAAAAAAATGGAAATTAATTAATATTTCCTGAACCGCTTCAGATATTTCAGCGGTTCTGAAAATATTAATTAATTTCCATTTTTTCCTAAAACTTCAACACCCCGGGTTTTTGTAAGGAAACATTTTTTGACCATAGTTTATAAAACAAACTAACATTAATTTTTCATGTAGATTCACACCCTTTAGTATTCACATATCATTAAGGAATACTCTGGTAGAACGCTGGTTACGACGCTAGTATATGATATAGTGGACAAGTACCTTAAGGAACAGAGCCACATTTTTTGTTAGAGTGATAACTTAACAAGGTGAGCCACTTAGCTTTTTATTTATTTAATACAGGAAATCATAGTTCGAAATTGTCTTAGCTTACGCTTGATTCACTTCACCATTATACAGGGAGCTTATAAAAACACTGAACTAATTGTACTACAGGTTTAATGCGGGAACTACTTGGAGGATAGGGTCGCACTACAAAACAAACAGTGCGTATCCACACTACTGTGCCATAAAATGAAAAATGGTTGCTAGTCAGGGTTCCTCAACAAAATTTAGTTAGTGGTGCGCAAAGATGTTATCAGTTAACTATTCCATGGAATAGTTTGCATCTGATGAAATAAGAAATATCTCGCGATATTCGTGATTTATACAATCATGGCTTGAATCTGTTAATTAATTTAAGCGTGGATTTCAGGTGAACATACCTGTATATATATCTTGACTAATTTTTCTGCATAACCTTATTAAAAAATCGTATCAAGTAGATTGACTCGGTACTACCCATCGCTCATAAAGAATTATGTTCAACACAAGTTAGACCCTCTGAGATAAAATCCCGTTACGAACATGAACAACATCTGGCAACGTCGACCCTCCCCGTATAAATACACTAGCATCAAAAGATTGAAATGTATTCGCCCCCACACCCTACAACCCTCCATTTTTGAATGTACTTTCCAAAAA